AAGTTTCTATTAATCAAATACTGGCAATCTTCAGGTATCTTCTGTGAAAAATTATAAGAAATTTTCACTCGCCTCCTTAACCGCTTTGAAAACTTTGCAGATTTGAATTATGGACAAAACCCTAATAATTCTTTCTGGGTCTTTTTCCAAAAATACTTCCTCGAACTGAAAAAGCCAAAGTTTATAATCATTTATTTGGAAAACTCTTGGAAACTGGGGTYTCTTSACTCTTAGGTCAATATTCCTAAACAAMACTGTCTAAACAGAAAAACCGCGTTTTCCTAACGTTTTACTGTGAAATACTGACAAACTGAGTCTTTTATGCACAAAAATTAAGARATCGATTTTACAAGAAAACTCTATGACTTTCYTTGGACTCAGTTCGGTTGCTGGAAAACYGGACYTTTTRTAGTTGCTTGAACAAAGTAGTAAAACGTYACTCAGAAAAAATGTTGACTTTTTTTTAGATGTAAAAATTCCAGTCTCGGGTCTCGTAAAGCTTTAATAAACTTACAACTCATGAACCGATGAGTTACAACTCGTTAACTCAGTTAACTCAATAGCGCAACTTAACCCAGTGTTACTCAGGGCGTCGAAAAAATTACCACTACACTGTACAAACCCGAATAACCAAAACTAAATTTTAAAGCACTGTTTGACGATTATTGTTGTTGTGTTTTGTGTTGAAGATTCATCTTATGCGACAAACTCTCAAACAATTTTGGATTTTTGTCTCATTTTTGCTACGATTAAATTACGTTAAAAATCAGTTTTTGGCGTATAACCGACGATTTTCGGTATAGTGGGCCTTAATCGCCACGCGCAGGCATAGGCCAGTTCTGTCAACGGGCCTATATGTGAACTCGGCCGGGAAATTTCAATTGCCAATTCCTCTCCCCAGATAAGTGTGACAGGAATTATTGAAAACGCTGCAAAAGTAAAGATCAACAGTTTCCATAAATTACATTTATGGAATAAGGAAGACGAAAACGAACCGAACGAGAAGGAAATTGTGAAATTAGTGAGTTTTCGAGCGTTTAAACCGGTTGCTGTTCCAAGCAATCTACCTCTGAAGATGCAAGCGACGTGCGCTAGCGAAACGCCAGGGCGAAGTTATACCACTGGATTAAAACTCGGCTTTTTAGTTGCTTGAACGAAGTAGTAAAACATTACTCAGAAAAAATGCGCTTTTAAAAATGTAAAAATTCCAGTCTCGGGTCTCGTAAAGCTTTAATAAACTTACAACTCATGAACCGATGAGTCACAACACGTTAACTCAGAGAGCGCCGACAACTCAATAGCGCAACTTAACCCAGTGTTACTCAGGGCGTCGAAAAAATTACCACTACACTGTACAAACCCAAATAACCAAAACTAAATAAATTTTAAAGCATTGTTTGACGATTTTCTAAGGAAATTGCATCAATGCCGGCTTACAGCAAGCATCCCCCAGACTTGATAAAGCTTCTATTTGGCATAATTGACTGATGATGACGGAAATTGTCTAGAATAAGTGGAATTCGTAATTAATCAACGGTCGTGTCGTGTGCGATCATCGAAATTATGCTAATCCCAATGATGATGATGCTTAAACAATAGTTCGGTCAGGTTTTCCAAGAATCTTCCACGTGGTCCTCTGAGGAGGAGGCTAAAAATACAATTTTCTGGCAACTTTCCAGTTTTTTCTCAAACGCACTTCAGTCGTCTGGAGTTTTTTTTAGTTTCGAACAGCTGGCAACAATTCGGCATATAGAGAGAGTGTAAAAGTGTTTTCCTTTGGAAAGTCAGCGACAATCGTTCACCTGACGATTGCAATTAGCGATGTTTAATATCTAAGTAAGGGGCCAGTTTAGTGGCTGTTTGATAATAAAGCGTTTATATGTATAGAAGCAATTAACTTTGCACTATCGTAGCAAAGTGAACCGAAGCGACCTAATGATTTTTCCTTTTCATATAAGAAACATTGTTATCTATTTGTTTTGATTTTCACAAGCAGCAGACCGTCCTTCTCGGTTATCTGCGCCATGATAACTTGTACAATGAAGTGATTTTTGTTTTCACCACTCGCTTACACTTTATCAGTAATAATACTAATAATCTTATTTTGATCTAGTTGCGCACAGGTCACACCCCTTTCATTTGACTCATAAAATGCAAAAACTTTTTCTCCAAAATTCACAAAGAACCGAAATAAAATTAAATATAAACGCAAATTTCCGAATAAAACAGTCTAAATTTGTCCCTGATCTGGGTAAACAATCCATCTATTAGCAATGATGCAATCGATACGATGAAACCCTTCTTAAGCCGAAAATGAGATTAGCTGAGGCAATTTCTGTGCGAAATGTGAAATTCACATGCATGATAACTAGGAAGTGATTTTCGTTATTTTATACCTGGAATTCGGGTAGCAACAGGCAGAGGGATGATGTAATCAATAAGCATACAAGGAAACCATTGAGGGTGGCCCCATTCAGTATAGGGCTTAGGGGAGCGAACCAGTGAGGGCTTGCACATGCACCCTTTAATCGCCATCACAATAAGACCGGCAAGTTTGAACATGTGCACAGTTCTGTTAGGAGTAGGGGACCGTAGTAAAAGCGTTTAAAAAACGTTTCTACTTTTACTCTGAAAACGTATATGTTTCGAGCAAAAACTTAAAGACGAAGAAGCAGGTTTAGTTCAATTATAAACAGTATAAAGGAGCGTTTTTTGTGCTAAAAAGTGTTGAAGTTTGAGGAAATTTCCGAGTTTTTCTGTAGTGTTTTTACTGGGTGCCGATTCTCAATATTTACATTTTCGCTTCTAACTCTTTAGATGTTGGAAATTCCTGTTGAAACATCAGAGATGAAATGTAGCTCTTGGGCTAGCGAAAAGGTCTGCAGGACTAAGTCGATATTTTGAACCGTAGATACAGAGTGTTTTAAGTTCGAAGAAACCAACATTTGTACATTTTTGCTTTTCTCTAGCGGTCAGAAATCCTAGCTATTAACGCATCCATTGCGCAAACGAAGACACAAGGAGGTAAAAAACGCAATTTAATTCAGTTATAAACACTATGAAAAAATGGCAAATTCCTGACATTTTTCAGCGCTCTAAACAAGTGTCTCATTCAACACAAAAAAACGTCAGAGTGCGCTAATCCATTTGAGCCATAAACAATAGATCGACAATTATCTAAGCGATTCGTCAATTATTTAATAAAGCAATAAACCGTTCTATGTTAGATAAAAGCCGGCCAATCTGACCTACCACGCTGAGCAGCTACATGTGGGTACTGGATTATTTTTAGGAAAATTTATTTTTATCTGGGTCATTGTTCACGTTCAACATTTTCTCACCTTGTCCCAATTATAAAAAAATCTTGTCGTTCATCAATCATTTGACTAGTGTTTTCGAAACGTTGTCGATCTGAACAGGAAGCTTCGATTTATTTGTAAATTCTCTGTATTAAGCAAATTTTCTGCGTGATTTAAGATTCAACTTATGCGACAAACTCTCAAACAATTTTGGATTTTTGTCTCATTTTTGCTACCGTTACATTACGATAAA